CATATTCCTGAGGGAATTCTGCATCAAATTCTGTGCATAATATTTTAAAATTCTGAATTTGTTTTATAATCAATAAATGTGGAAGCTCCACCACGGCAGTGGGGAGCACAGGCCACTGGCTGCATGGAGGTGGGAGAATACCCTGCAGCCTCCCCCGCCTCCCTGGGACAGAGACTTGGCGATGAGACTGAACCTGACCTTGACACAGCACAAGGGCCAGGCCTGCCACAGAAACACCCGGGGGCCCTGCCCCTTTTGTGCCAGGCACACCAGATGTGGGCAGGGAGGCTCAGCCCGGCAGCAAGATCCAAGTGCAGAGGGACTTAGTGTGGGGGTATCTAGATGGGGGTAAGAGGGTTCTGTGGGGGGGCAGTCTGGGTGCAGGCAGCTCAATGGGGGATCTGGATGCACAGGGAGGTGCCAGGTGGATGGGCAATGGGAGTCTGCAGGGGGGACCAAGTGAAAGTGGTTGGAGCTCAGCAGGGGGACAGAGAGTCTGGGTGCAGGGGAGGTGGGGTTGTTGTATTTAAAGTACTGCACAGAATCTTTTCAGGGGGAATAAGGCAAACGCCACATTCATTGGTAATACATGAATCAATCAACACTGTATCATATGCATATCATCTATATTACACTCATGCACTCACATACACACACACAAACACACTCTGTCTTCTTGTTGTTATCAACTAATTGCTCCCCTTAACTTCACTGGCCAGGTGAGTTAGATAGGAGAGGGGTGGAGCCGGGCTTCTGCCGATCCGGATCGTTGCTCCGATGTTGACAAGACGAGACCCAGGGTCCTGTGCAAGACACCTTACATTTATAGCAGCTTCCCTCTCATGCAAATCTGTACCAGATTCAAAAATCTGTGTCTGTGTCAGTTGGTCCTTTGTGCTGCTTCCTTCTGGGTGTTGTCCCACTGCTGTTCAAAGAGAGTGTTTCCAAAAGAAAGAGATTTATCTACAGGGTTCATTTGGGTGGGGATCTAGGTGTAGGTGGTTCAGGCTCAGTGGGGAGGGTGTCTGGGATGGGGTCATCGGGGGGTACAGATGCAGGGGAGGTGGGGTTTGTCAGAGTGAAGGTTTGATGGGCCCGCTTAACAGATGAGCCCCAGCTGCTGCCAAGGGAATCCGCATGCTGGGCCCCTGTTTCCCCTATCCCAGGGATCGGCAACCTTCGGCACGCGGCCCACCAGGGTAAGCCCCCTGGTGGGCCAGGCCGGTTTGTTTACTTGCCGCGTCCGCAGGTTCGGCCGATCGCAGCTCCCACTGGCCTTGATTTGCCGCTCCAGCCCAATGGGGGGCTGCGAGAAGCCACAGCCAGCACATCCCTCATCCTGCAGCCCCCCATTGGCCTGGAGCGGCAAACCGTGGCCAGTGGGAGCCGCGATCAGCCGAACCTGCGGACGTGGCAAGTAAACAAACCGGCCCGGCTCGCCAGGGGGCTTACCCCGGCAGGCCGCAGGCCGAAGGTTGCCGATCCCTGCCCTATCCCCTTCTCTTCCCCATCCCATGCCCCTTCCCCATCACTCCATCTCCTCCCCATCCCACCCCCTTCCTTCCCCACTGCCTCTTTCTCTCTGCCCCCGCTTCACCTATGCCCTTCTCTTCCCCATCCCACCCCCTTCCTTCCCCTTGCCTCTGACCCCTGCCCTGCCTGCCCCACCACGGGCACTCACTGTTGTACAAGATGAAGGGTGGCTCCCAGCACAAAGAAGGGAGCTCAACCAGCACTAGAACCCAGAAGGTGGTGTCCAGCTGCAAAGTCCCCAGAGCTGAGCAGCAACTTCTTTTTTCAGCCTGGCTGTGCAGCTCTGCAGTCAGAGTAGGTATCCTCATTCCACCCCCTCCTCCCCAAGCTCCCACCCCTTCTCTGCCTCCTCTCCCCAGGTGAGCATGCTGTGGCCTACCCCTCCTGCCGGCAAACGGCTGATCAGCAGCAGGGAGGGGGAGGGCGGGAACAGAGCAAGCTGTGAGAGGAGGCAGGGGCAGGGGAGTTTGGCTGCCCTACTGCAGCAGGAGCCTGTGCCAGGAGCACCAAGCTTCTGCCCCCCTGGAATGTGGGCCCAGTGGTGCCATGGCAAATCTGCTACTGCCTTTGCCCAGGTGCAATTCCATCTCCTTCAGATTGTGTGGGCTGGGCCACTGAAGAGCAGTGGCTCCTGTGCAACTTTGAGGACTTCATCTTTTGCGGCTGTCTGGCTGTGCTAGTGCACAGGTTCAGGGAGGCCCCAGTGAGTGGGGCTGGGCACAACCTGTGGCTTATACCTCCCATACAGTGTGGGACTGGGATAGGGGAACCAAGGTAGTGCCAGCCCTCTCCAGTCTCTGAGCTGGGGCTGCCTCTAGGGTTCAGGGGTGTTGGGGCTCACATTCTGCCTTGAGTGTTGAACATTTGGCCAGGATTATGTAGCCCCTGTGGGAGGGTAAAGGACCTGCTACCAACTTGACATCTATTCAGTTACAAAACAAGAATTTAGGTCCTGCACCATCCTCTGCAACCTGTCCCTCAGCTGCCAATATGCACCTTCAACCCAAGCGCAACTTTAACAGACTGGCCACAACTTTCAGATTAACAACAATCACAACTTTCTTACTGTCTTATTTATAAATGTAACATGATGGACCCCCAAAGATGCTTCATGGGTTGCAATATCTGTCACAACTCCTGCCTCAGTTTTCCTATTCTGGTCTTCCCAATAACAGCATCCACACTCTCATGTGAGTCAATAACACCCCTTTGGGGATCTGGTTTATTAACATAGAAATAGTTTAACTTAATGCTATACATTCCTGCTCCCCTAGTAATTTGGCCTCAACAGCTCATTAAGATCCTGTGGGTCTCAGCAGTCTGCCCTGTTGGAGCACGGCAATGGAAAGCCAACTTCCTTCTAACCCTAAGCAAGCACAAATGTCAGTTTGCTTTGACACTCATTAGCACTTTACTCCTGGGGGAATTCTGCACCACTGCACATGCGCACAATTTATGTCCCCCCCCCCCCGCAGATTTCTTTGTTTTCCCGCAGAAAAATTACTTTCTGACAGGGAAGCAAAGGGAAGCCTCAAAAAGGGTCATGCAGCCCTTCCCAGCAGTATGTTTCAGGTACCCAGGACAGCCAGCAGAGAGGTAAATAACTGTGGGGCAGGGGCAGGACTGGGGAAGACATGGCTGGTGGCTCCTACCTTGCACCGGGCTCAGCTGCTAGTCCTGGGGCTAGGGAAGACAGGACTTTCTCTTCCCCAGCATGGCATCTGGGGCTGGGTCAGACCCACCTCCAGATTTCTCCCCAGGCTGTAGGAAGCTCTGCAAACTTTCCCCACCCCATCCCAGCACTTCCTGCACACATCGCTCCTCGGCTGCAGGGGGAGGGATCACTGTACAGGGAGCTGAGCTGTACTCAGACCTCCACTACCTTCACCTGGACCCCCCTGCAGAGTCCCATTACGGCTGCACCCAGAACCTCTCAAGCCCCTGTGCATCCCCCACTGAGCTGCCCACACCCACATTGCCCCACAGAGAACCCTCTCAACCCACACCTGGATTCCCCACACACTAAGCCCCTCCACACTTGGATCCTGTCTTGCTGAGCCTGCCTGCCCACACCTGATGTACCTGGCACAGGGGGGCAGGGCACTGGGGTGTTTCTGGGGCAGGCCCAGTCCTTGCGCTCTGTCAGGGTTGGGTGCAACCTTTTTGCTGGGTCCATGCCCTGGGGAGGAGAGGGGGAGCTGCACAGTGATCTCCCACCTCTGTGCAGCCAGTGCTCTGTGCTCCCCAATGCCATGCTGGAGCCTTCACATTTATTTGACAAATAAAATATGCAGAATCTTGCAGAATTTTATAATGTGCGCAGAATTTTTAATTTTTTGTCACAGAATGCCCTCAGGAGTAGCACTTTCACTGTCCTGTCCAGGCTACCCACGAAAACGTATGCTCCCAATACTCCTGTTAGTCTCAAAGGTGCCACAGGACCCTCTGTTGCTTCTTAAGGAGCTTGATCCTACCCCTGGCTACAGGTAGAGCCAGGTCTTTCCCTCTGGCTGCTGGGGAGCACTTCTTCCCCACAGCCCTCTGGACATGAGGTAGGTGCTTTGCTCTTGCACCTTTCTCTGTCTCCCTCTTATAAGAAGGAGGGAGACAGAGAAAGGTGCAAGAGCGCAAAGCACCTACCTCATGTCAAGAGGGCTGACATGAAGTAGGTCCCACCCCCAGGATACTGCACATGTTGCCTGGTCACTTGAGCCAACAATACAGCACATTTAGGGAAGAAACTAGGAGATAAAATATGACTGCTTCTTGGCTTTGAGTAGCAGCACACTCTATCTCAAGGAAGCAACCATGGTGGATAGGAAACAGAATCATTGTAGGAAAAAAGGCCAGTTGAAAAGAGGGGAAACAAGCAAGTGGAATGTAAAGACAAAAGAGATTGGGAAAGAGAGAGAGGAAAGAAAACAGTTTGAAAACTACAGATACCAGTAAATAAAGGCTGGATTTGTGGCTAAGGTACAGGACTGTGAGCGCAGCTTCTGTTCCCGGCTCTGCACTGACTGGCTGCGGGATCTTAGGAAAAGCACTACCTCTTTCTATGTCAGGGTTTATCCAGGCGTAAAAGGGGGATGAAAATATTGCCCCACCTCACAAGTCCTGGGATAGGAGTGTTAGAGTGAGTAACTATTAGAGGGGGAAGTGTGCACCCTTGATACACCCCCCTCGTACTGAGCACCCACATCATTCCTTTCGCTGAGAATCTCCACAGGCTCTACACAGACAGTCACAATTTCATTGCTTCCATTAAGCTAGTGACAAATCCCCCCGGATGTTAATGGGGGGGAAGCATCAGACACGCTGCGCTGCTCCCGACCCCCCTCTACAGCAAGCGGCAGGCGCCCGCGCGCTCACGAACAGCCATCGTCCCGCCCACCTGCGCGCGCTCGCCTTTCGTTCGCTTCACTCCCTCCAGCCGCGACTTGGGTTCTGGGCGCTGATTGGCTGCCGCCTTCCCGCTTCCTTCCCCCCTACCGAGAACCCGCCATTTTGAAAACCTTGTTGATTCCGGCCCGGGGACAGTGTGAGCGCGAGACGTGAAGCGCGCGCCTGTCCCCGCCCCCATCCCGGTAATTGTGAACTGTCGCCTCCAGCCGCCGCCCACACGGGCGAGAGGAGCCGGACCCCGCCAGGCAGCGCCGAGCCGAGGTGGGTGAATCGCGGCTCCGACAAGGGACCGCGGCCGCTAGGATCACAGGGCGCAGGGGCTCTGGGGCGAGAGGCCTGTGGGAGCCCCGGATCCCTAGCGTGGGCGGAGTCACTCCGACTGTCCGGCCCTGCAGGGACCTAGCCCGGCCAGGCCTGCGCGGGAGCCAGGCCCCGCGGGGAGAGGAGCCGGGCCCTTCCCCCGCTCCAGGGTCTCCGATCCTCCGGCTCGCCGGGCCGGGCCTGGCCGCTCTCACTTCTCCCCGCGGCGGGTTGTGTTTCCCGTCTGAAGGGTTTCCTGGGGACCCCAGTCCTGGCCCGGCCCCCGCCCGCTCGGGATCGCTGCTTCCCCAGCCACAGCGCGGGGCGACCTGCGCTTCCCTGCAGCGTCCGGGTGCCCTGCCGAGCGGATGCATCCCCGTGAGCCAGGGTCATCAGTCCGGCTGCGCCGCGCACACGCTGCAACGCCGCCCCCGCCTTGTCAGTTCGTGTAGGTCATTCTCCATCCCCAGACACTGGGCGCTGTCCAAAGCTGGGTCCCGTCGGTTAAGCAACGTAACCTTCAGTGACTTGCTTATTACAAAGGGGAGGCTTGGCTACGTCTTTAAAAGTGTTGCTACTTTTGAGTTGTGTGAACAAACTGAACAGTTGGAAATGCCCTGAGGGGTTCCTCCAGGGCCAAGTTCGATTTTTTTTTTCTGTTTAGTATTGGAGTAACAGCACAAATGATTGAAAAGTTACTTCTCAATTTGCTCATTAGGCATCTCGTTTGGCAAACTGTGTGAAAACCCTTCTCTCCTCCTACTTCCCTTCCTCTCCTGAAATCGCAGGCCACAACATCCCTAAGTACCAATGGTTCTCAACCTTTCCAGACTTCTATACCCGCAAGTTTGTCCTCACTTTAAAAGCTCAGGCACTGATTCCAGGGCTGGAGCTACAGGCGCCAACTTTCCAATGTGCCGAGGGGTGCTCACTGCTCAACCCCTGGCTCTGCCTCAGGCCCTGCTCCCACTCTACCCCTTCCCTCCCTGACCCTGCAGGGCCCTGGCTACTCCCCCCCTCCTCCCAGCCTCCTGCATGCCAGGAACCAGGAGGGATGGGGAGATGCTAATTGGCTGCCAGTGGGTGGGGGAGCTGATGGGGGGCTGCTGACGTATTACTGTGGCTCTTTGGTAATGTACATTGGTAAATTCTGGCTCCTTCTCAGGCTCAGGTTGGCCATCTCTGCACTAATACGTGATTGTTGTTCCATAGATTTTTATCTCCAGAAGGATCAGACTAGATCATCTTATCTGATCTTTTGTATATAACACATGCAACCTAGAATTTCACCCAGTTATCATTGTTCCAAAAGCAGCATGTACTCCTCTAAGTTGTTTTTTGTTCGTACATTATGTGAGTGTGTACTTACTATATGACAACATAAATGTAGGTCAATATTCATGTTTAACCAAAAGCAGAAGTAAATATTCCCTATCTGAAGTGTGGCATAATGAAGATTGTGGGTTTTTTTTAAGCATTTGTATTTTCTAACTCTTGATATTTTGTCAGCAGCTTTAAGCTATGTTAATGCACTGTTATTGCTTTCAGTAGGTATGGCTGTATAGTTCAGGATGCAGACTGAGACCTTCATGTCTGGAAGGATTTGATAACATTGCCATTTGTTATAACTAAAACTTTTACTTTAAAATGAGCTGTTCTTTAGTGGGGTATTTGAAGAGTCACAAAAAATGACCAGACTTGCATTAGGAGGATGTGAAAAATTGTTCATATTCCTCTTTAGGTTACTTGAATTTGTGTTTATAGCATCAAATAGTCAGTCTAAAGTACTCAAACATCCCAGTAATATTGTGACAGGACTTTTATCCAACAAAGATGTCTGGTAGATTTAGACTTGGACAAATTAAGTTTTTATTGGTAAATGTCAGTAAACATCAGTTGCACTGTACAAACACACAGGGATGAAAAAATATTTCCATCAATAATAATAATAATAAATTTACAGATAGGCAAAGTAAGAAAAATGTTGCTTGAAAATGTACTAGAGTTTGATTTAAGGATATTTACTGTGTATATTTTGACATAATGTTGACAGTTTGTATTTTAATGGTTACAAAGCTTTAACTTTTTGAATTTGTCATTAAATAATTGTCTGACCCTCCATAATTTTCTACAACTGAAAATGTTTAAAATAAAGCTTAAAACCCAATATTATCCATCAAAATTATATAAAAAATCTGAGTTCTGCCATGCCTATATAGATTCAAGAATTTTTCTTAGATGTTGTAATAGCAATGACAGTTCCCTTGTGTTCCACAGATTCACTCACTATGTCTTCCTCAAAAGAAGATACAATGTCTGCTGAACAAACAGATGAGAGAGAACCTGAAACTGAAAACAAAGTTGAAGAAAGTGATGAGGAAGAGGAGGAGGAGGAGGAAGAAGAAAAAGGTAGGTATACATGCAAAGAAAGGGCTGAATTAGGGGTCAAAGTATCAGATTATATTCAGCAATAATTCTTTGGAGTAGTCAGTGTTCAAGGATGAGTGAAATGGAACAAAGTAGAATAGCTTTGGGAATGAAAAAGGGGGCATGGCTCTATGTGCAGATATTTCCTAATGTCTAACATATGAAAATCTAAGTTTATTTTATGAAGCTTCCCTAGAACTTAATTTTAGGAAACAATTTCCTTTTTTAATGTGACTAACTGTATTTGTAATACCTGTGGCACATCCCCACATGAGAGGAGCCTCAGTGGACCCTGTTGTTGCAGTGGAAGCAAGCATCACATGGACTCTTACATTGTATCCATATAATGGATGTTATTGTGGTGGGCAGTCCAGGGATAAGAAATTCCTGGTTGCTATGTACTTGGCAGAGGGGGAGATTACAGTTGAAGACAGAATGAGTCTTTCCATGATAGAGCTTTACAAGTAGTTTCTATTCTGGGAATCCAGTGGAAGCTATAAGGAGCAGCTCACCTGAACAAAAAGCTACTTCTTTGTTGTCAAGAGAAGACCACATTAATAGGGGATGCCTTCTTCATCTGCCGAGAAGGAAAGTTCATCTGTGTCTACCCACCATTACTGCCTACGGTATGATAGGTATTGACTAAGGGTCAATCCTAATAGTTTCACACTGCTCTGGACCGGTGTGGTCCTCAACTCTGTTGTAAATGGCCAATATTGATACAGTCAGACTGGAAATCTAGCCTCAGATAATCTTTCAGAACCAGGGCACCTCACTCCATCCCAAACTGAAGAGCATTTTACCTCACTTCTTGTTTCCTGACAAGGTGGAACTCTGTAAGCACGAGGTCACTGAGGAGTTAGCTTATATCCTCTTTGCATCTTAGAAGCCTTCTACAAGGACTGATAATTCTAAGTGGAATAGTTCTTCAGTATGTTGCAGAATCATAAATTAGCATGGGGAATTAACAGCAGGAGCAGTAACTGAAATGACATAAACGTGTCAGACTATGCTGGCATCTGAAATCTGACAGTTTGGAGGTTCTGTGGGTCTCCAGTCCGATTTTGTGAATACCATGTTATATTTCAGCCTTCATTTTGAGTGTCAGCTTGATTATGTGCTTCACTGTATAATGTAACTGTCATGTGGGACTGCATCAGTCCTCTTGTGTTAGGCAGAGCGTGGTACCTCTGAGTTTGACCCTGAATGAGAGAGTCATCACTGGCCATTAACTATTCAATGGCATTACCCTGGCAGGACAATGGAGACTACCAGCAGAGACTAACTGTTAAACCAGCAGCCCACGCAGGGTTGAATGTGTAAGTTCTACTCAAGGGCTGGATAATGGAAAATCACTGCATGAGAAAGTAAAAGCTGTTTCAGGTAGGCTTTAAGAGAGAGGCTTTCTAAGCGGAGAGACACCATTGCCAGAAGAGAGAATGGTGCTGGACCCCCTTGAGGACACTGACCAAAAACCCAAAAGACTTGGGAGTGGTGAGGACACTAGACGGAAGGATTTCCATTCAGATACTTGTTTATCCATAAATCTATGAACAAAGTGTATATTGTTAATTTCCTTTGCCTATGAATTCCTTGCTTTGACTATCATGTGATCTCTGAACAGTTCAACTGTAAACTGTAGTGCCCATTATGTGTGGACCTTTGGGGAGAGACTTGGAAGGTCAGCACTGGTTCTATGGGGTCTGGCGCTATAGGGCTCCACATCCCAAGAGGATGTACAGTAACTCCTCACTTAACATTGTAGTTATGTTCCTGAAAAATGCTGCTTTAAGCAAAACGATGTTAAGTGAATCCAATTTCTCCATAAGAATTAATGTAAATGGGGGTGGGGTTTAGGTTCCAGGGAAACTTTTTTTGCCAGAGAAAAGACTAATATATACTCACAGTATAAGTTTTTTAAAGAAACAATTTAATACTGTACACAGCAATGATGATTGTGAAGCTTGTTTGAGGTGGTGGAGTCAGAGGGTGGGATATTTCCCAGGGAATGCCTTCCTGCTAAATGATCTAGGAGTCAGAGGGTGGGATATTTCCCAGGGAATGCCTTCCTGCTAAATGATCTAGTAGTCGGCTGAGCCCTCAAGGGTTAACACATTGTTGTTAATGTAGCCTCACACTTTAAAAGGCAGCACGAATGGAGGGAGGAGACACACACAAGGTGTGTGGGACAGAGACACGCACATTGCCCCTTTAAGTATGCTGACCCCACTCTAAGTACACTGCCTTTTTAAATAGATCAGCAAGTTGAGACAGCAGCAGCTGCTGCTGCCAGCAAGCTCCCTCTGTCCTGAGCCTTGTCGTATCCATCCCTCCCTGCTCTGTGGAGAAGGGGTACAGGGGAGGGGGACACCCTGACATTAGCACCCCTCCTTCCTCCACCCCCTGCACAGCAAGCAGGAGGCTCCCGGGAGCAGCTCCAAAGCAGAGGGCAGGAGCAGCACACGGCAGTGGGGGGAGGGACACCTGAACTGCCGGGCAATCAATAGCCTGCTGGGCGGTTGCCGCACAGGGAACTTAAGGGGGCTGCTGGCCCACCCTGGTTCCCAGCTCCCACCAGCTAGCTCCAATGAGCTGCTCTTTCTGCAAGCAGTGGACAAAGCAGGCAGCTGCCAAACAGTGTTATAAGGGATCATTGCGCAACTTTTAACGAGCATGTTCTCTAATTGATCAGCAACATAACAAGGTTAACCGGGTTGACATTAAGTGAGGAATTACTGTACAAGATGGAGTCTAAATCCTGGGGTGTGGCTGGGATGCTACAACTTAATTAAAATAAGATCTCATCAATAGGCTTGTATAGAGATTATATCCAAACCTACTTTTATCATATTTGTATGTATAGTTCAGCTCAGTTTTCAGCAGGTGTGGCTCCAGTTAGTTGTAAATCAGTTCTGTAAGTCTCTTGGTTACGTAAATTATAAGATGTTATTTGGGGCTCTTCTTGTTAGTTCAGACTAGCATTTTACACTAAAATTTTGTACAATGTCTCTTTTAAGTTAATTAGGTACTTCTACTGCAGGTTAGGATACTATAGCTGATACCTTGAGATATATTGAAATTCTCCCCCTTCTCTCCATATGATAGCAGTGCAGTTGCAGTGTTTGTCTCACTATTTGTGAAATGTTATACTTAAGGGAAACTGTCTTTTGCAGAAAAGAGTCTCATTGTTGAAGGGAAGAGAGAGAAGAAAAAAGTAGAGAGATTGACCATGCAGGTATCCTCGTTACAAAGGGAACCTTTTACAATTGCACCAGGCAAGTTTGTTCACTTATTTCAGAACTATAATTGTTCTAACTAGTAGTGAATAGTGAAATTTCTTAAGTTGACTAAATTATGAATCCTAGATAAGATAACTGAGCCACCATAAATCTTAAAATAGGGTGTTGATTTCTTTTTACAGAAAGAGTGGCTATTAAAATTACAAATGTGGAGAGGTTTGTGTAACTGTCCATCAACAATGTTGAAATACTTGAACAAAGTACATTTTTACCTGATCTCAGGCAGGCACATGATATATAGACACCAGTTGTGAATGCAAGAGCTGCTAGGAATAAATGTGCAAGTGTGTGTAACCTCTATTTGGACACAGAGCATCAGGTAACAAAGGAATAATATAAAGATGGCTAGCAAGTTATTTAATTATGATGGACACAGTAAACAGGCAGTCATCTGCCATCTGAAGTTTTTGGTCTAGTAGTAAAATAACTTTCCTCCTCTACCTCAAAAATATTTCAGTTTTAAACACTTGCTATATTTAAAACAGATACTACAAGTTATAAACAAATGTGTAATTTTGAAGAACATGAATGAGAGACGCAACATAACTTTAACTCTTTCAGGAAAGGGACAAAAGCTTTGCGAAATTGAAAGGATACAGTTTTTTTTGAGTAAGAAGAAAACAGATGAACTCAGAAATCTACACAAACTCCTTTACAACAGGCCAGGCACAGTAAGTCCCTTAAGTCAATCTTTTGCATGATATTAACGCTCTTTTGGTAGAGTAAAACATGTATAGTGTATCCTAGCTTTTCCAAGGGCTTGTCTATACTTACCGCGCTGGTTCGGCGGCAGGCAATCGAACTTCTGGGTTCGATTTATCGCGTCTAGTCTGGACGGATAAATCGAACTCAGAAGTGCTCCCCGTCGACTCCGGTAATCCTGCTCGCCGCGAGGAGTACGCGGAGTCGACGGGGGAGCCTGACCGCCGGGTCTGGACGGCGGTAAGTTCGAACTAAGGTACGTCGACTTCAGCTACGTTATTCACGTAGCTGAAGTTGCGTACCTTAGTTCGATTTGGGGGTTTAGTGTAGACCAAGCCCAAGTGGACATGTGTCTTTTTAAAAGCTACATCGTTACAATGCCTGCCCACAGAATGTTAGCATTAAGGTACATAGTCACTTAATTATAATTACATGTGAAATCCTTTATCTATCATTGTTATAACAACATCTAAGATTACGAACACAGAAAATAATTTTTTCTCAATTCTTCTAATTGTTTACCTGTGCGTTTGAGAGCACTACATGATAGTTGGTTTCACTGTGGTCTCTGCATATTTGTGACCCTTTCATACAGCAACTGAGGGAAAGAGGACACTTTTTTATTTAAAACAAAACAAAACCCTAGTCTTTTCCCCCCCTCAAATATGTTTGAAAAACCACAAAAACGTGCAGGACTTGGGTAGATGAAGTAACTGAAACAACTTAACTTGCCTTTTGAGGCTGATCACACTTCAAGCTGATGTGTTACCCCTTTAAACTAATATAATTCACATGATTAATCTCTTTAAAGGGATAAAATACAAAAGTAAAATAAACTTGAAATTTGAAAAATAATTTGCTAGTGAAGAAAATGTTCCAAATGATCTTAACTTTCATCAATTGCAAATTTGTTTCTGAACTATTTATGTGCTAATGATAATACATTCAGTTTTGATGTGGGGGTGGAAGAGGGTTGGGTCATGGCTCATGTTGTGGGGAGCATCACCCATGAGAAGGGAGATCAATCTAATACTTTAGACTTTATTTCTAAAGGAGATGTTTTGAAATATGGAAGAGGCACTTATTCTTAAGCCTCATGCATTAGGGAAATGTTTGCAAAAATTTCTTATTGTTGCCAACACTGGGGTCAGCTTCATTGATGGTAGCAATGTTGAAGGAGCCCTAGTGTGGACAAGATGCTGTAGTTTTAAGCATCCTGTTGACTACAATTGCTTCAAGCAAATGTAGATGACCCAATGTTTAAAAGACCAGCTTCTGGTCTAAAGTAGAGCTCTCAATGCTGTAACCAATGGTGTAGCTGAACTGGTGTTAGCAATGACTCCAGAGTTGCTGAAACGTGCAAGTCCTTCACTGCCTTTTATATCCCATTCACTTTCACCCAGAGGATTCCATCTAACATCATTAAAGCACAAAACGTGGGTGGGGGAAGAGGTTGCCCACACCACCTTTCCTCTGGTCCCCTGAGCTGGCAGTAGCCAACGGGATTTATTTGCATACACTACAGGTGCAGTCAATGTGTTAGGAGTACCAACAGTAAATGATGGAGGCATTAGTTGGGCCTGCTTGGTAAAAGTGTGTTTGATACAAGGACATTTGTGGATTACTTTGAGGTGTTTGACAGAATTGTGATTATATGAGGAAATCTATGTTTTGCACCCTCCGAGAGAAGAGCTGTTATGTGTACCTTTAGGATCCAGTATGCATAATTTCAGTAAAGAATTGTGCGTTATATCCGTAGTAGGGCATAAATCTCTTATTACAAAGGATATTGTCAGCAGTTTGGTGGAATATGAAAGGATTCTAATGCTTTAATGATCATAGAAATGTAGGGCTGGAGTAGACCTTGAGAGGTTATCAAGTGCAGCCCATTGTGCTGAGGCAGGACCAAGTAAACCCTAGGCCATCCCTAACAGGTGTTTGGACAATCTATTCTTAAAAACCCTCTGATGGAGATTCCAGAACCTCCCGTAACCTAAATTTCTCTAGCTGCAGATTAAGCCCATTGCTTCTTGTCCTACCTTCAGTGGACATAGAGAACAATTGATCCGTCCTCTTTATAATAGCCCTTTGAAAGTCCCCCTCAGTCGGCTTTTCTCAAGATTAAACATGCCTAATTTTTTTCTTTCTTCATCGATCATGTTTTCTAAACTTTGTAATCATTTTTGTTGCTCTCCTCTAGAGGCCATCGTATTTCCTAAGGTGTGGAGCCCAAAATTGGGCACAGTAATCCAGCTGAGGCCTCACCAGTGCCAAGTAGAGCAGGACAATTTTCTCTTGTGTGTAACATACGACATTCCTGTTAATAAACTGAAGAATATTAGTGTTTTTCCCAACTGTATCAGACTGTTGACTTGTATTCAATTTGTGATCCACTATAATCTCAAATCCTTTTCAACAGTACTACCACCTAGTCAGTTATTCCTCATTTTGTAATTATGCATTTGATTTTTTTTTTCTTCCCACGTGAAGTACTCTGCACTTGCCTTTATTGAATTTTATTTTGTTGATTTCAGACCATTTCTCTAATTTGTCAAGGTTGTTTTGAATTCTGGTCCTGTCTGCCAAAGTGCTAGCAATCCCTCCGAGCTTGGTGTCATTACTACATTTTATAACCATACACTTCATTGCATTATCTAAATCCATTAATTAAAATATTGAATAGTATCAGACCTAGGACTGGCCCTGTGGGACTCCACTAGATGCTTCTAGTTTGATAGTGAACTATTGATAATTACTCTGAGTTTGGTCTTTCAACCAGTTGTGCACCCATCTTAGTTATTTGGTCTAAACCACATTTCCCTCCCCCATCCATTAGGCCAGTAATCTGCTAAATAGTTAATTAGGTTGGTTTGGCATGATTTTTTCTAGGCAGATCTTATAACTGTATTATCCTCTAGGTCAGAGGCTCTCAAACTTTTTTACTGGTTACCCCTTTCACATAGCAAATCTTTGAATGCGATTCCCCCTCCCCCCCATAAATTAAAAACACTTTTTTATATATTTAACACCATAATAAATGCTGGCGGCAAAGCAGGGTTTGGGGTGGAGGTTGGCAGCTGGTGAACCCCCCCCCCCATGTAATAACCTCATGACCCCTGGAGGGGTCCCGACCCCCAGTTTGAGAACTCCTGCTCTAGGTGCTTACAAATTGATTGATTGAAAGCTACTTAAAAAAAATCAAGGTATTGAAGTTACGCGGACTGCTCAATAATTCCCAGAGTCCTCTTTGTTTCCCCCTTTTAAAGATAGGTAGGTATGATGTTTGCCCTTTTCAAGTTCTCTGGGATCTCACCCAGCTTCCATGAGTTCTCGAAGATGATTGCTTCAGCTAGTTCCTTAAGTACTCTAGGATAAATTTCATCCAGTCCTGCCAACTTGAATACATCTAATTTATCTAAATATCATTTTAAACTTGCTCTTTCCCTATTTTGGCTTGTGTTCCTTTCTGTGACGCTTCCTGGGGGGTACCCAGCACCTACCCTTAGCATGAGGAAGCCTTGTCTCTGCCTGCTGGGTATCAGTTCCCCAACTCCCATCAGCCACAGGCAACACAAGCACTTCCATCTAGGCCTACAGAGACCCCACTGCCCCTTTACAAGTTAGCAATAGGCAGCCTCCAAATGTCTCTCTTGAGTATCCAGCCCCTGATCCACTGGACAGTCATAATATTTACAGATTTGCAGCTCCCAGGGGAATAGTACAACCCAACTTACCAGTTACATCTTTGATCACTGCTCTGTTTTACACACACAGGACTTAGATAATTCTGTAGTGAAAACAAGTAAAGTTTACTTAACAAAATATAGAGATTCGAATGATAACTATATACTTTTGTGTCTTAGAGCAATGCTCATCCCAAAGTCCTAGCATTTTACAGCCAGGTCCTTCCATTCATGAGACAAACATGATGTCAGTTTGCCTGCTAGGTGAAATATTCTGGGGATATGTACCCCAAGATATATCAGAACAATCTATTGTCCTTATTCATAAATAGGATGCCCCTGCCCCCAGTTGTTTTTTCCTGTAGTTTTCATATCTTATTGAAATCGCAAACTCCTGATTAGCCTTCAACAGCAAACATAATATTTTAACAAAACGAGCATATGAATTTTTGAATTTAGTTAAACATTCAAGTTTTTTTAAAATCAGATTTGTTTTTGTTAAAATTTGTTTTTAACTAAAATAGTTAAATGAAATATTAAAAAAAAATTAAATAGACTGTCAGTCAGGTCAACGTGAGAAACTTAAAATGTTGGCTTCTGCAGCTAACTCAGTCATCTTCACCTTCATTTTCCTGTTTGTTCATAATCTGGAAAAGAAAAAACAAGCTTTCCTGCTTTTTCAGGTCCCAAATGATTTCTCAATTTGGAATGAATTAGTCCAAAGGAAGAAAATATTCTTTCTACACCGGTAGAAGAAGCTACTGCTGTTAAAAGTGAGATCATCACTTCACTAGTCTCTGAATCCAAGTGCTTAAGTGACTTCCACCAGTTCACTGGTGTGACTTTCTTTAAAACATCATCAGCAAACATATTTCTTGAATGGTTCATCCTTAGCTCTGAAGTTTATTATAGTTGGCATTATGGAGGGATGATTGCTGGATGTCCATGTCATAGCCAACTCCTCTTCTTCAGCAGTTAAGGTTTGACCCTGGTATTGAGTATTGAGAATATTTACAAGAAAATGAGCTGGAGATAGTGCTTGTCCCATTCGTTTTTTTAATGCTTGTATTTTAACTCTGTCATTGCATATTTCTTTTTAAGATCTCACTCAGGGCATGGCTACACTTGCAGATGTAGAGCGCTTTGAGTTAAACCAGCTTTCATAGAGTGCAGTAGGGAAAGTTCTGTAGTCTGTCCATATTGACAGCTGCTAGTGCATTGGCGTGGCCACATTAGCAGCTCTTGCAACGGCCATAGAGAGTAATGCATGCAGGTGGCTGCAAGGTGCTTTTCAAATGGGGGGCTGGGGTGGAGTGTGACAGGGAGTGTGTTGTCTGTATGTTGGGGGAGAGAGAATGGGTTTGTGGGGGGGCTGAGAGCATGTCAGCATGCTGTCTTGTAAGTTCAGACAGCAGCAGGCCCCCCCTCCTCCCCCCGCCTCTCTCTCTCTCACAGAGCATTCCACAGTAATGGTTGCTTTGTCTCGGAGCATGCTGGCTGTCAAACAGAGCTTTCAAAGGACATATTCAAAACAATGACAAGTGGCCACTTGCCTTAAGGGGATTATGGGACGTTTCCAGAGGCAGTAATGCAACACCTGGTTCACACTGACGCTGGGGCGCTCCAGCGGGGACACATCAAACGTTATTCTACTCGCTGAGATGGAGTACCAGGAGCGCGCTACGTGCCTTGCCAGTGTGGACAGGTAGTGAGCTAGTGCGCCCGGGGCTCCTTTAATGTGCTGTAACTCGCAAGTGTAGCCAAGCCCTCAGTTACTTCAACAGCATCAGCAATAAAACAGCTATTTCCCTGCATTTTGTTCAAGGCTACAGAAATAGGCTTCAGGGTACTCAGCATGTGTTCAACATTTCTCTTAAGCCCAATGTTGAGAACTTTGGCTGTGACAGTGCCATCTATTTTTTTCACGATTTTGTTCACAAACTGTCATCCGATTAGGTCGGTTCTTGATATAGTGGTCAAAACAGTCCACTACTGAGTTCCATCACGTGTCTTGTGGGAAAGTTGGCTTGGTTCCTCCCACTTTTTTCAGAGCAGCAGCTGCAAAGTGGTTGTTACGGAAGTATTTTGCAATTTTAACAACATTAGCCTTTATTTCTGGAACACTGAAGTCTTTGGCTAGGAGGTGCATCAAATGAGCACTGCAACCGTATGTTATTAGCTTGGGACTCTCTTCACTCCCTCCTAAATAATTTCTTCTAATCTTGGATACATTTGCAGCATTGTCCGTAACCAAGCTGCATACTAGACATTTGAATTTTTGTTCAGTTTGTGATAGTTTTTACTGCTACTTCTTGTAAGTATTCTGCTGTGTGTGCATTTCCTGATGTATCAGTTGTTTCTGTAAGGAAGACATTCCACACAAACACATGCAACAGGACCATTGTGGACATTGCTCCACCCATGAAGACTCAGGTTAACAATTTCACCCTCTAGACATTTTGCACACTGCTCAATTTCTCTTTCATACGCTTTATCCAGCAATTGCCTGCGACATCTGCTCTGTTGGGTGGACTATATCCTGGTCTTAATGACTGAACCATGTTAATGAAGTGTGTGTTCTCAATCATACAGAAAGGAGAGTTTGTTGAATAAACAAATCGGGCAATTTTTTCATCAATGACCTCTTTTTGTAATCTGCTGGTTCTTATCACAGACTTATCTAAGGTTGTTTCTAGATGATGGAGATTTTTTTTCTTTTTGCTACAAGTAATATACTGTGGCTATGTGACATACATGATGTGACTGAAACACTATCATTGGCAGATAACTATGAAACTATAGAAAATGATCTTGAAGGTGGATAGTCTTCAGAATCTTGTATGTTGAGGATGGATTCTTATCTCAACTGTATCTAAAATGATAGTACCATAGAGTAACAACTGTATTTTTTGCTCAAACATGAGAATTCAAGAATAGTCCAGAAGGAAGACAGGCAGTTCTTAAGTATGAAATAAAAAAGTTTACCAACCTGAAGATCCTGCATGTTCAGACATGTTCCTTTCATCATCTCAATGCAGCTTCCTCCTAAGAAGGAACACGCCTCATGATGTTTCATTCGGGCAACCAGGTCTTGCATTGCTTTGTTGCACTGTTTGCATTTTGCACACGTGCCTGTCTTACCCACAAGTAGAGGAACTTCATTAAAATATTCCCAAACCGGGTCTCTCTTACAGCCTGCTGCCATTATAGGTTTTCTCTTCTAGTGAGAGAATGGTATGGTAGATCTCAAATCAAGGCTACACTCAGAAAGACCTCAAGACTTCTGGAATATGCTGCTCAAACAGTTTCACTTTTGTTTCTACTGCCTGTCCCTCCCTTCTCACATTTATCTCCAGACTTCTTCTCCCTGTCCAGATCTATTCCACTCTTCTATTCGTTGAACTTTTTGAAACTTTGCACTTTTAGAGAGAGAGAGGGATTGACTCTGTGTACACAAATTTACAGAGGTACAATAGGGTTGAGGTCTGTTATTTCTCACCTCTATATTTATTTATTTATTTATTTATTTAAAAGCATTTTTGCTGTTAACAAGCATGCTATCTCTGGAGACACAAATCCACAGTTTGAGAACTGCAAAACTAAGCACCTCTGATGGTATCTTCTAGACTGTGCACTGAGTCCCATTGGGTAGATAGAAAGATTAACCTAAATAACCTATACAGAAGCCCCTGGAACCTCATAAGATTGGGTCCCTAATTCACAAACTATTGGAACTCATTTACAAAACTTTTCTTAAACATTACATGACTATTGTCTCATACTATAGAAATAGAATTTATAATCCCCATTCCAGGATAAGATATCTTTAAGTTATAATGTATGTACTATCTTTAGATCGGATTCTTTTGAGGAAAAAATCTATTTAAATTTAAAAAATCAGATTTTATTTATTTTTTTATCCACCCTGCTCTCTTTCTTTAGCTCTGGAACAGTTGACAGTTTTGCATTTAATATGGTCTCCTGAAAAACTGCCAGCTCTCCTTAACTCTTAGATCATCTTCCTACAGACCTTACCTACTAGTTCTCGGAGTTTGTTCAAGTCTGCTTTTCTGGAGTCCATTGTCCTTATTTTGCTGCTCTCACTCCTTCCTTTCCTTAGACTCAGGAAATCTATCATTTCGTTATCACTTTCACCCAAATTACCTTCCAGCATCAAGCTTGCAAGCTATTCCTCCCTGTTGGTCAGATTCAAGTCTAAAATTGCAGTTCCCCTGGTTACTTGGTCCACCTTCTGAGACCAGAAGTTGTCCCCAGTACATTACAAGAACTTATTGGCCATTTTGTGTTTTTTCTGTATTCCTTTTCCAAAAGATGTCTGGGGTAGTTAACGTTCCCTATTGCTACCTGATCTTGTGTTTTGGATATTTCTGTTGTTTGTTCTAGAAATGCCTTGTCCAACTCCTCTTCCTGTTCTGAGGGTCTGCAGATGTCTACTATGATGTCACCTGTTTTTTCCCCATTTATCTTTACCCAGAGACTTTCAACTGGTTTTCCTCTCACCTTCTGGATATCAGAACAAGTATATCTATACTTGATGTATAATGCAACAGAACCTCTCTTTATCTGCCTGTTCTTCCTGAGCAATACGTACCCCTCTATACCAATATTCCAATATGAGATTCATCCCACCAAATCTTTGTGATGGCAATTGAGTCATGATGGTTAAGTGAAAGTGTAGGTTGAGATGGTATCCTGTCAGTAATGGTGTGTCTACATTTGAAGTGGGAGATCTGATTCCTAGCTCGCGTAGATGTACGCAAGCTAGCATGCTAAAAATATCAGTATAACCGCAATAGCAGAGGCAGCTGATCAGAATAGCCGCCCAAGTACGTATCCAGGAGTTCTGGATGGGTTTGTACTCAGGTGGCTACCACAAGCCACTGCCTGTGCTATCCTTGATGTACTGATCTTTAGCATGCTAGCTCAAGCAGAATCACACCACCCAGTCTGTAAAATGGTTGTACATTTTATGTGCATTGTACAATATGTAAATTGTACATGTATTCTTTCTAGGTTGTTGTCTAAGTGTGAGAGTGTAAAGTAGGGGTGGCCAACCTGAGCTTGAGAAGGAGGCAGAATTTACCAATGTACGTTGCCAAAGAGCCACAGTAATCCGTCAGCAGCCTCCCCATCAGCTCCCTCCACCCCACTTCCAGCGCCTCCCATCCACCGGCAGCCCTGCCGATCAGTGCCTCCCCCTCCCTCCCCGCACCTCCCGATCAGCTGTTTCGTGGTGTGCAGGAGGCTCGGGGTGGGGGGAGGAGCGAGGGCACGGCAGGCTCAGGAGGGGGCGTGGGAAGGGGTGAAGTGGGGGCTGGCCTGTGGCAGAGCCAGGGGTTGAGCAGTGAGCACCCCTCGGCACATTGGAAAGTTGGTGCCTGTAGCTCCAGCCCCGGAGTTGGTGCCTATACAAGGAGATGCATATTAACTTCTGAAGAGCTGCATGTGGCTCCAGAGCCACAGGTTGACCACCCCTGGTATAGATACACCAGGATCTAGAAACTCCTGAATATTATGGTGCCAAGGGCCAGTGTGTGTGTGCGCATATTGCGGCATTGCTCAAATAGGGCAGAGGTAAGGTGATATTAAAAAAAAAAAAGTAAAACAGCACAATCAAAACCATTCTGTTCTTTACTTTTTATGCTGCTTACTCAACTTATGCAATAAACCAGACCAGCCAATTTCTGCCTCTTAGGCACTGGCAAAAGGCTGCAGATGTTGGGGGTGGAACCACTACATTAGTACTTCATAGAGCTGAAGTGACCATCTGACCTCCTCTAACATAAGCCATAGCATAACTTGGGTTTTCACACCTCTGAGCGATGTAGTTATAGTGATATAAGTGTGTAGTGTAGACCTGGCCTGAGTACATTTCCCAGACCTGAAGAAGAGCTCTTTATAAGCTTGAAAGCTTGTATCAGTAACGGGAGTTGGTCCAATAAAATATATTACCTTACCCACATTGTCTCAAATACACCTCTACCTCGATATAACGCTGTCCTCGGGAACCAAAAAAATCTTACCGGGTTATAGGTGAAACCGCGTTATATTGAACTTGCTTTGATCCACCGTTGCGTTATATCAAGGTAGCGGTGTACATGAATACTCGAGTATTTTCATACATTTTACCACACTATACAATGGCTGATCATAATGGCCTAATTCTGTATGCCTAATTCTGTATGCCTTTTTGAATGTAAGCATCTGAACAAACTTTCTCATATAGTAATAACAATTAGTTGAATAAACATTGCTGGATGTAATCTATTAAACAGTTTCCAATGAGACGTAATCAATGTGTTTTGTTTTTTAGGTTACCTCACTAAAGAAGAACGTGGGTCAGTTCAGCGGGTTTCCATTTGAAAAAGGAAGTGATCAATATAAAAAAAAGGAAGAAATGTTAAAAAAGTAATGACTTCTATAACTACTTAATATAGCTAAATCATGCTGGTTACTCTTATTTTCTAAGGTTTGCTCCAAGTAATCTACGTTTTAGGATGAGGGATTGTTTTCTAGAGCTCTGCTTTTTGTCCTTGAGCTCAGCTTAAACAATTTGATTTCTTAATAGATTCTAAATATTGTTTCAAATCACATTTAAACATTTCTAAAGAAGTAGTTTCATTAGACATGCGCTCTTTAACTTCTGATGCAGGTTTAATCTTAATGGTGTAGGATTGTACTGGAAAGCAATTGTTGTTATGTATTGTAATTTTTTCCTAGAGATTAGAAAAAACATATTTAATGAAGTTTCAACACCAGAGTGGCTTGAACTTCATGTAGAAGGCTTTAAATAATTTCCTCTTGTATTTTATGTAATCTCTGGATGTTGGCAAATGTCTACCAAGAAGCAGAACTGCCATCTTAGTTTTCTGTACCTCTGATCTTTCTTTTGCTATACCACTTGTAAATGTTGGGTTTGGACAATGCAGTCCCCACATTTCTAGGTGTAGTTGGCCCCAGTGCTCTCCACTCCACCTAATTATTTCACGAGGAATGGCAAGACTGCTGTGGGTAGCATGTTGGTCTGACCAGTGAGCGACTCGGGTTTAATTCCCAAGGTTAAGCAAAATGCTTTGAGGGCACCACATGCAACTCGTGACAAGGGGTACACCTATATTGTGCACTGGTCCTTATAGTTGAGCAAGGAACTCCTTTGGCTCCAAAGGGATCCCCATTCATCCTTCTGCGTCTGATTGAGGAAGCCCTTTTCAGGGCTAAAAAACATTTCTGATTATTTGCATATTTAATTGCAGCCTTATTCCTTTCAAATGTATGCCAAGACCTGGAAATATGTGCAAATAAGAACAGTAGCTGCATGTTTCTGCTGGAAATGTAACTGTAAAATGATTGATTTTTAGCACTTAAATTTGTAATTAACTCCTCTGTTACGAATGGGAGAAGTTCACACCTACTTTGTGCTGCTATTTCAGTCTGGCTTCAAATTCAAGACAATTTACTGACTTACATTTTGAAGTTAGTTCTGGTAAGTGGAAAGAGCAAGCAGACTTTTTAAATTGAAAATTTTGCCCTTTACTTTCTTTGGTCTGCTGAAAATCAGTGGAAGGACTCCCATAACTTTGTAGAGTTTTTTGTTCTCTCTCTATTTCTAGTTCCCTAGGAGATGCAGTTTTCCAGGAGTTTAATTTTAAAAGTTAGTGCTTATCAAATATTCATAGACCTACATAACAAATCATGGCAACCTATCTAAAGATGAAAATCTTAATCTTTAACAGGTTGATTTGAAGAACCCTTGATATGCAAAATATTATAGGGTATATTTAAACACTTTTGCATATTCACACTCGTGACTAATATGAAAAGCAGCTGATGTACGTTTGATCTGCTGTGCTAATCCTCTTCAACAAAATTTCCATGTTAATTCTTAAAATCCTCTTTCTCTGAAAAAGCAGTTGCACATGTGTTGTTATTTTAGGTCCTAGTACATCTGATTATCTGCTTGCTTTACTGACAAGTTTTTACCCCCTTCAGCACTGAAGAGTCTATATATACAAATGTGTGGGAAAATTCTTCTGTAGTATGTATTACATTCTGACTGCAGGACCAAACTCTGCCTTCTGTACACCTTTGCAACCTCACTATTTTCAACAGGGTTGGACAAGCATAACCGAGTACAATATTTGGTCTGCAGAATTTCTTATGGTGAAGAAGGGTAAAGCAAAGCAGAAAGAATGAGCTTGAGCTTCAAACAGAACATTGGGTTTGACAGTACAGGCACCTGGCATTTTTACTTCTAAGCTGGACTTGGTCTGGAAGGTATTGACACAAATGAGCATAGAATCCCTCAGTGACCTCTTCAACACTTTTCATAATACAGCTGCACTTTAATACTTACTAGCTTGCACCCTGCCAAACATCATTATTTTATCCATAGATACCTCTTCCAGTACAGTATAAACACTTATATGGAGTTATGTAATTCATAAGTAATGTGGAAGCTTTGCATTTAAAAAAACAGTGTTTACACTTATTCAGAATAATTTCATAGCAGACCATTTAAACCCATGTTGATGAAATATTTGGCAATATGTTGTTGAGGTTTTTGATCATATCACAAAAGGCTCTAACATAATGCATACCAACAGTAACATTGCTCATTGCCATAGAAGCCTTCATCAGTTTTCTAACTTTTGTGAGGCTAAAAAAATCAACACTAATGCAACAAGAAGTGTATTTAAGCCGTATCTACTCATGTTTTCCTTATCAGTACAGCATATCAACTCGAGAACTTAAGTCAACCCTTTCATAAATATACTTATCTTTAGCTCTGTATTGATAGCTTAGAACAGGTGTAGTCACTGGGCGGACCAGGGGCCAAATCCAAACCACCAGAGGCTTTTGAATGGACCAAAAAAATCTTGTTGTAGTTTTTTGTATTGTTTTCTCTGGAGTCTGGACCTTGACTATACCTTCACCAAAAAATGTGGACCCTGACAAAAAAAAATAGCTGTTGGGGCAACTATCAATACTTCTAAACCAGAGATAATCTAAATTCTTGGAATGCTGTCAGCACTAGTAGTTAGGTGCATATGTGTGTCTACTTACCATCTTGTCTGGTGGGTGAAAGATTTGGAATGAATGTTGCAAAGGTAGAAACAGACACTTTCTGTTGTCTCTCCCAATATGATCTAGCCATCATTTGTTCTTGGCTGTCATTCAAAACTCAGTAAGTATAGTGGGAAATAATACTGTTTTTCCTGTTACCTTAAGGACTTCGGGAGCCAAATTAAAGGGACCCTGTTAGATTTGAGCCGAGAATTTCTTTGAACCTATCTTCCTTGGTTATTACTCTTCTCTTCGCTCATCTTGTACAATGAAGCTAGAACAATGAGTTTCACTTTCTGGTTATTTTGCATAAATCTAGTTGCAATTTCTGGATAGAAAATTTCATTGACCACTATGTTTAAAAAAGGCAAAACATTTAGTTTCTGATCCTGCAAACGCTAAATTGTAACATGACACCCAGTTCTATTTTCTCTTTATCCAAAACTGCTGATTAAGTAGACTACGTGTTCCAGTGTCTACTGTATATTTGGGGCATAGATAACTGCTTCTGCCTTTCCATTCAGCCATCTAGTAATCAGAAGAAATAGTAGAGGCATTTTTGATGGGGCTTGCCTGCAAGTGGGTTGTTTTTTTTTGTTTTTTTTTTTGTTTTTTTAAGAAGTCATGTTCATCAGACTTGTCCTGGAGTGGATAACTTCAAATCTGGAAAAAAAAGTTCTTTACATTGTAACTAGGGAGACTTTTCTGAGGGAACTGCTGCTTATATGTAGGTATATTTATATCCCACAGTATATAGCTCTGAGTTGGGTTTAAGGAAATTGTTGAGAAGGGAGACTTACTTTCATTTATTCTTGATGCTGACCTATGTATGTAACAGATAAGTATAGATGCAAATAGGAGTACTTAAGTTGCCTACACCTGCATGTGTTTGTAGGATCAACATCTAATCAAAAGTGTCTCAAACTCACAATACTTAAATATTGACTTTTTTTTAATAACCTGTTTAAGATAATTAAATTTTGTTTCTGTTCAGATTCAGGAATGCCATGTTGAAAAGTATCTGTGAGGTTCTTGATTTGGAAAGATCGGGAGTTAATAATGAACTGGTTACCAGAATCTTAAACTTCTTAATGCATCCAAAACCTTCTGGCAAGGTGAGGCACAATTTTATTATGCTTATTCGTTGTTATGATTCCAACTTGGGGTGGGATGTGGGCAGAAAAAAACAATGGGGACCTACAAGGTTGCCTTATGCCGTATGCTCCTCCTCCTAAATGTGCTTCTGCTACCATAGCTAAAGAAGTGAGTGGCTCCTCGAAAGTGAATGTCTTTCTAAATCTGCTCCCACAGTGACTCAGTGTAGCTGACCATAGCAGATCACATGTATAGGGCCGCAGACTTAAGCAGAAGCCACAAGCTTCTGTTCTCTTTTCCCATCATGCTTGGCTAGGCTGCAAAAGCATATGTATCCAGCTCATGGAGTTACCATTGGACATCCCTACCCAAGCAGCATATAGCCTTTTTGCTTTGAGGAACAGAAAGGGAGCTGTGAAATGTGAGCCAAAAAAAAAAATAGAAATGAGGTGGGGGAAGGGAGCAAGATGAGAATGGACAGAAAAAGGGTGGCAACTGTATCAGGGGATGATGTGAGAGCTCGTTGAAGGTGGAAACACCCTTCAGCCCATTCATCACAAAGCAGGAGGGGAAGGGGGGATCACCAGATCACGGCTCTATTGGAACTGGAGTGTGTAACAATGCACTAAAACCAGCTGCACAAAATACTTTAATTAGCCTCCTGTTATTCCACCTTACTTTTTTTTTAACCTAAGCAATACAGAAATAGTCAAAGGCTGTCATTGCTTATCAAAATTCCTTTTATCATAATTGCTACAAATGTGAAGTCTTATACAGAAGTGAATAAGGAATCTCTCTCTCTGCTGCTTTTTTTTGTTTGTTTGTTTGTTTGAGAAGCAACCCAGACGGTTCCATTTCTGTCAACAGTTAACTTATTGAAGTGCTGTTCTATCCTGGAAAGTTATCTTCACTGGGGAGTTAATGTTTGTTTGTCAATAGTTTTCCACTCTTCTTCATAAACTGAGCAAATTAAACCATCTTCTAACAGCTTCCAGACCTACAAGTCAGTCTAGGTTCTTTCCTTCTTGTGCATCATCTCCAGTAAGAATAATAATTAAAAAAATCTGCTTTGAATTACTTTTGTGCAGTTACACTGAAGGCTTTTAAAAGAAACATGGAATGCCCCAATGCCATTTTCAAAGTTGCTTTTCCAGGGTAGAACCACACTAGGAGGGATTACAAATTAAATAAGGAGAGAATACTTGAGTGCCCCATACAGAGATATTTGTTATTTAAAGCAGAAAATACGGAGCTCTTCCTAATAAACTTTAAATGACCACGTTCATAGTCTTCAAAGACAAGTGTCTTTTGACACATTGAAGAGGTTAATCTAAAATGAAGCAGACATCACTAAAATTTAGTGTGTACTTTCAGCCTCATAATGCTTAACTTTAGAGGTCTGCATATTAACGGAGATCAAAATTCTTCCCCTCCCCTGTTGACATATTTCTACACACATAATCACCTGTTAAATGAGCTGGTTTGTGTCATTGTGTTGGCAGGCATTGTGAAGTTTGGTGTTAGTCTTAACAGTGAGAACAAAAATTCAACAATAATTGAAGTTGGGCTTTTGTAGAATTATGGCTGAGGAATTAAATTAACTTTGCCTCAGTTTGCAAGGGGAGGAATATGTATCTGGAGTTTTGTCCAACTTGAGGAACTTCCATTATATAGCCAACACATACTGCTGTTTGCATGTGATTCTACAATGTAGATCAGTGGTTCTCAACCTTTCCAGACTACTGTACCCCTTTCAGGAGGCTGATATGTCTTGCATACCCCCAAGTTTCACCTTACTTAAAAGCTACTGGTTTACAAAATCAGACATAAAAATACAAAAGTGTCACAGCACACTATTACTGAAAAATTGCTTACTTTCTCATTTTTACTATATAATTATAAAATAAATCATGACCCCCAGGTTGAGAAACAGATATAGAATGTAAAGCAGTACAAACAAGTCATTTTCTGTATGAAATTTTAGTTTGTACTGACTTCAGTAGTGCTTTTCATGTAGCCTGTTGTAAAACTAGGCAAATATCTAGATGAGTTGATGTATCCCCTGGAAGACTTCAGCATACCCCCAGGGGTACACGTATCCCTGGTTGAGAAACACTAACATAGATTATTGGATGGACATATTTGGAGAAACGTGTAGGTGGTAAAATAATTTACAGCAACACCCATCAAAGTAGCTTCACCAAACGTAAGCTCTAAAACCGTTCATGTTAGGCAGCAAGCAACAGTAACCCATTCTTGCGGAATACAAATGTTTACCTAAACAGGGGTGGGCAAAGTTTTTGGCCTGAGGGACACATCTGGATAGAGAAATTGCATGCAGGGCCATGAATGTAGGGCTGGGGCAGGGGGTTGAGGTGCTGGAGGGGGTGCGGTGTGCAGGAAGGGACTCAGGGCAAGGGATTGGGGCACAGGAGAGGTGCGGGGTGTACAAGGGGGCTCAGGGCAGGGGGTTGGGGTGCAGGGAGGGATACAGGGTGCGGCAGGGGCTCAGGGCAGGGGGTTGGGGTGCAGGAGGGGTTCAGCAGGGGGCTCAGGGTTGGGATGCGGGAGATTGGGGTGCAGTCTCCAGCCTGGCGCCACTTACCTTGAGCGGCTCTGGGGTGGCAGTGGGGCTAAGGCAGGCTCCCTGCCTGCCCTGGCCTCGCGCTGCTCCCGGAAGCGGCCAGCACCATGTCCCTGTGGCCCCTAGGGGGGGAGGGGGAGAGACTCCGCGTGCTGCCCTCACCTGCGGGTACCTCCCCTGAAGCTCCCATTGGTTGCGGTTCCCAGCTCCCAGCCAATGGGATCTCTGGGGGGCGATGCCTGCAGGCGAGGGCAGCACGCGGAGCCCTCTGCCCCCGCCTCCTCCACACCCCAACCACCCCCCCGGGCCACAGGGATGTGGTGCTGGCTGCAGCGCATGGCCAGGGCGGGCAGGCAGGGAGCCTGCCTTAGCCCCGCGGCCCCACCGGGGTGGCAATCCCGTGGGCCGGATCCAAAGCCCTGATGGGCCGGATCCAGTCTGCGGGCTGTAGTTTGCCCACCCCAACCTAAACCTATCAGGCAAAGCTCTGTCTAAAAATGAGGATTACACAATGCTCTGAAAGCTATTAAATGCTGACCAGACTGCCAGTGGGAGAATTGTACAATTAGGGGACCATCTACTGAAAATGTTCATCTCTGGTTTTCAAGAATCCTTATATGAGCACTTAAAGAGACAAGTCAGGTGAGGTGGTAATTTTGCATTGGACCAACTCCTGTTAGTGCGAGAGACAAGGTTTTGAGCTTACACAGAGCTCTTCTTCAAGTCTGGAAAATGTTGTCAGTGTTAGTTAAATGCTATCAGCAGAACGCTTACAGGGTTCTCTGTTATTTTTGTGACTCAAAGGGAGAGGCAGTCTTTAATGCCAATTTACAAGAAAATACAGTACAGTATATACCTTTCTTATCTCCAGAATGAGCAAGTATGCTTGGTAATGTCTCTATTGGCAAGAAAAAGATGTAGCATTTTTTTAATATGATTGGCAGAAAAAAATTAGACCATAGCCATCTAGACATTTTAGTAGGGGTGGAGACTCTGAAAGAATCCAGGGTGTCCTTGTCAAAAACGTTGTATTTCTAAATAATGGCGCAATACTTAAGATTAAGAGTCTCCGCTTTTTAAATCTGAAAATTTAACTTGAGTCCATTTTTGAGATAATGGGTTGAAGTGATTGGAGGGCAAGATGTTCATCCACAATGAATGACAGTCTTTTTTGGGAGGGACAGGGAGGAAATAGACACAACAAACTATAAACTCAGTGTCCACCTGATTTCCCCAAACCACAGGCACCGACAACTACAATTGTGGCTACAATTTTAATGTAATTGTGTTTCATTATGCTCTAAATTGTGGTTTTGTCATGAACTTAAATAAAACCAATCCCTTGAATTTTTTTAAGTAGTGTAAACTGTTCACTTTAAAATGATGGTACCTGGTAACGGGCATCTGGGGTTGCCAAAAGCACATCCTTTTACGTTTTATGGGTCAGTGGTGGCTCTAGCTTTGCTTATTCTTGATTCATATGACTTGACAAAAATGGAAATTTAAAAAATTTGAATTAAATTTTATTACTTTTTTAACCCATACTTTTATCTTAAACAGCCATTGCCAAAGTCCAAAAAAACTCCCAGCAAAGGCGGCAAAAAAGAACGCAGTAGCTCAGGAACTGCACGAAAAGTAAAACGCACCAAATGTCCTGAGATTTTGTCGGATGAATCCAGTAGTGAGGAGGAGGATGAAAAGAAAGAGAAGGCTGAATCTTCTGAAGAAGATAAAGAGAGTGAAGAGGAGGTAAATATAACAAAACTTCCTTTTTCAAGAAAAAATGAATGAGTTTGTCTTGCTTAGTTTGTAACTAACTGGTTACATTACTGGCAGGGGGTTTCAATATCGTGTTAATGTTTTGGTGGTGGTTTTGTTTTTTAAGGTGGAAAGTAAGCTATAGTTAATTGAAAGGATTGCTTCCCATATGGACAACTTGAGACAAAAGTTCATAAGGTACTATATGTCAGGAAAAGCTGACTTCTTCCACTGTCAGAAATATGGTGTGATCCAAGAACTAAAACTTTGAGGGATGAAGAAACAGAAATCAGAGGACCTGGTTCTGATCTCAGATGCTTATGTGGGTCTTGTAAAATCGGTTGCTGCATGTGATGACTCTAACAAGCAGTGCGGCCCAGGGTAGAAATTTAAGCGTTGCCTTTCTTGTTTCTCCTGGTGACGTTTCTAGTGGAAACACCATTGCTTTTTGACTGGGGATTACTGTTAGTGAGCTACAGTTGAAGTAAGCATTGTAGAATTCAGTAAGTAAAGTCACTCCTACCTATCTAGCATTGGTCTTGGGACATCAGTTCCCAGATTCTTGTGTAGTTCTGTAGTGGTCCCTGAAATATTGTAGTACAAAACTAAGCAACCTTAAATGGTTTTCTTCAAAATTTCAAAAGGTGATAGTCCCACTACACTCAATTTTCTACTCTTTTGTTTATTCTTTTCAGAACCTTAGTTTTCCATAAACATAATTGTTTTCTTCAAACACTAGCATTTTTCCTCATACATTCACAGCTTGAGCTTCCCCTCATCCCTTTCTTCCACCTATTCTCAGAAAAGGTACAAAATGTGGAGTGGCAATACAAGCATCTTCACATTGACTCAACCCTACAGTATACCAGTGAAGAGACTTCAGGCTTTGTATCCTTTGACATCTTGATTTCTTAGATGAGATCATTTATTACTGGCAGTTATGGCTATGGGTTTTGTGATGTGGACACCAATTCACTAATTACAGGACTGAGACCAGCATTTCATATAAGCCACTGAACTACAGGGGATGATAGAACTTCAGCCACTACTGACCCAAATTTATGATTTACAAGTGTGGTAGGCCATATATTTGAATTGTCTGAGCTATGGAAGGTAGTTAATCATGAAAGCTTTTTGTTGAAAGGCAAATTCATATAACTTCAAAATGAAAATGTCATAAAATGGCAAATGATATTCCACCACCATTCTCCATAAAACAAGATTGGAACCACACATTCTTAATTCTTAACTTGCCATTTTTTTGGTGGTACTCCCAGCTGGTGAGTTGAGAGGGCTAGAGTATTAAAAGCTAATTTTATATTTTGTTCATCTGTTCACCAGTACAGTCTTTCTGCTGTGAGGAGAGGAATCTGGCTCTCTGTGGCAGGAGTCTTTAGAAATCCTTTTTCCGAGAGCTCAGCTGCCTATAAAAGATAGGTAAGCCCCACTCACCTCAGTTTTTTGCCTTTCTTCAAGAGGTAGGAGTTAAACCCTCTGTTCCTTCTGAGCTGTCAGACAAAACCTGAAAACTTTTAGATGGCTGACACTCCTAAGGAGTGTTTACAGACCCACCTCCGAGGGATTATGTTAGATAACTTCAAAGGAAACTTGATTAGCTCATGGAAAAACTACTCTGCTCTTAAAACATTCTACCTCTTATGCCCTGCATGGGCAACTCTCCTGATTGAGGGTCTTAAAGGAGAAGTTTCATCAAACCAAGGGCTTGTGTACATTTAAAATGCTGACAGGGGGGTTCTCCTGTCAGCACAGGTAATCCACCTCCCCGACAGGCTGTCTACACTGGGGGTTAGATCGGTGTAACTGGATTTTTCACACCCCTGAGCAATGTTATACCGACATACTTTCATAATGTAGACCAGATCCAAGTTACCCCAAATTCCATGAGATTCAAACCAGAGTTGTCCAAACAGTGAGAAGTCAGACACTTAGTTTGATCTTCAAGTTGATTGTAAATTTTCACAAACAATCTATAGATGAATGAGGCTATAAATGTATGAAGTTACTGAAAATAAATTGAAATGATGAACCTGCTTGGAATAGAAGCTTATTGACAACTGAAACTGGATGTCTCTCTAGCTCAGTTGTGGCAAAAGGTAGGAAAAAACTGCCTATATATTTAAAACAACAAAAAATGTGGGTTGTTTTTTGTTTTTGCTGTGTGCTTAACAGCACAATAGAAACTAGCTAGATGGCCCTCATTTAGTTAGCTCAACAGAGAGCAGAATAGCCTAACTGTTGGAGTCATGGGTGAGGAGTGGTTGGGACAGATGGAGACACCTGCATACTTCTCTTGATTGAGATTCCAAAAAGACAGCTTCTTAGAATTATCAGGATTCAGAGACAATTTCTAGAAAACAATCAAGATTCTGAGGAAAGAACGCTTCCAATACGTTATAAGGCAGACTGAGTTCCATTTAAACTTCTAACCTTGCTCTGTAGCCAAACACTTAAAACACCAAAGCATTCTAGTTTGAAAAATAACCACTTAAGGATATGATCTGTGTGTATTTCCTGCTGACTACAGTGACAAAGTTCTCAGTGCTTCTGTTGCCTCTGCAAAGCCAACAGCTCTGAAGCAGTGAGCTGGATTCTAGTCTGACTGGGGGACCAACACAATTAACTAAGTTTTATGGGTTGCACAGGTGTAAATGAAAGTAGTTACTGGTAATGTGAGTCAAAATTCAGTTTGGTTTTTTTCATGTCAAATTGTTTTGCACTATTTACTAGTTACAATTTACAGGACTTCAGCACATGCTTAACCTTTTTGACTTTGAGAAATTCCCAAGTTCTTATTTCTTTTTGCAGTATCATTTGATGCTAAACAGTGTTGTGGGGTTCCATGCTTGTCTCAGTAACGTCCAGAGGAAGTTTCTAGGGCTGGCCGTAAAACAGACTCTGATCCTGTAGACCTAAATACATCTTTAACTTGTGTAAAGAAAGCAAACACATCTAGTTTGTGTATCGTGTATCTTCTATTCACTCAGTTGATTTTGACTTCAGCAAACATGTTGTAGTTTGTCTATTTTTAAAGCATCATAACTGAGCCAGTTGTGTGCATTCATTAATGTAGTTCACTTCTACTAGTAAAAATTCACCCATGTATAATAGAGGCCATGCAGCCATACTTCTGCCTGATTGAAGGGAGAAGGGATGCTAAGTTGCAGTATTGTGGGCAAGGATGGAAACTAAAACTAAATTGTTTATCGAATACCATGGTTTGCTTGTTTAGTTTTAATCAGACTCTCAAGGAGTCTGTTGTAGGGCAGATGGTGCCTAGGGTGTTCTAGAATTCAGATGACATAGCATTCAGGTATTGGTGCTCCTCTAAAAGGAATTGACTAAAGTTTTGGGATGATAAAACTGACAAAGTAAAAGGAAGGTAAGTATAACCTTGTGGAAGGGATAGGAGTTGGCATTCTGTTAGTCGTGGGTTGCTTTCTAAGTGCAGCACCTCTGCTTATTTTTGGCAGACTGGAGCAATTATGCATACTTCTTGCTTTGTCTTAAAGGATAGTCACTACTTATAGGAAAAATAGAATCTGCTTTGGAATATTCATTGATGGGACACTATTGTACTAAGTGTAATTCTACTCTAAAATTATTAAAAATGGCACGTTTAATCCCAGTGTCTATCATTTATTGTGAACTGATCCCATATGTCACACTTTAACTGCCAGACCTACAAATGTAATCAGGATTCTTTCCTTCTGGTGATTTGTCACCAATACAATATTTTGTATATCAAATTAGATCCTCCATTACACCCATACCATCTTGTTTAAGACTAATGCGGTTGTCCAGGTATGGGGGGTTGAAATTTTGCTGGCAAAAGCTTTATTACTGGTGATGCTGTGTGAGCAGGAAAAATGTAGCTTTCATGATTTTCTAAGGTAGAATGACTCCTGGGTATGTTTGTAGGATTGGCTGTTAGAAAATGCATCTTGCTTCACAGATAAATTCAGGTTACAATAACCATTGAACCCTCTGCCATTGTAGTCCCTTTTCAGAGTAGAATTGCACTTTAACCAGGCCTATGCTCTCTAGTAGCATCAGACATAATTATGAATGGAGATACTTAGTACAATCACCCATAAGGCTAGAAAAAGTTCTAGCTGTTTGTTAAAACAGTCAAGAATTTTATTATCTTGGTTTGAGCTCCAGAGTTTATGCAAAATTAAAATCTAATCTTGAAGAGTCCAGATTAACTTCACAGTACCTATGCATTTTCCTCACTACCATCAACTATGGTACATAGCTATAAGTTGCCAGTATTTCACATCTGAATGTAATAATTCAGTTTGCAATTACATGTTTCTCGCACCCATGTAGCATATTGGTGGGGAGTGAGAGCTGTTGTGCTAGAAGTCAGGATTCAATCCATTCTTTTCCCTCCTACAGCAACCTAAGAAAGCATCTAAAAAAGAAAAACCTAAGCAAAAGATGACTTCGAAAAACAAGAAAGCTGTGAAAAGTGCTAATGTCAAGAAAGCAGATAGCAGCACTACAAAGAAGAATCAGAACAGTTCGAAAAAAGGTAAAGGTTTTAGTCTTGTTTTCACTGTGTTGCTTAATTTAGAAGAGGAGTCTTAAGGTTAACTGTCCAGCAAAACATTGCATACTTTTTACTGCTTCTCTGATGTAGAAATCACAAGTTTGTTTCGCTAATATCAGGATGAGACCCCCTCTCTACTGGGGGGCCTTGGCAAGGTCTTTAACAGGACCTGTAGAGTTATTTAACAGAATCTTGTCATCTGGTCTGCAGCCATTCTTCAGCCTGATTGATGGGAGAAGCTGAATTGCAGTACTCTGGGTTAGGGTAGAAATTAATACTAGATGGTATTTTATAAACAAAGTGTTTAAAACTAAATCAGCAAAACATGATCTGGCAGACTGTCAAGGAATAATGTGGAACAGGGTGGAGGCATATGGTGTTCTGTGGGAGATGACTGTCCCGTGTTTTTTTTTCTGGAGGAAGGAAGCAGCAGGGAGATGTCAAACATTTGAATTCTAATAAAGTAAATCTTCCAGATTTAGAAAGTGAATCTGAGGATAGTTCAGATGACGAACCTTTAATTAAAAAGTTGAAGAAACCACCTACAGATGAAGATCTTAAGGAAACTGTCAAGAAGTTATTGGCCAATGCAAATTTGGAGGAAGTAACAATGAAACAGATTTGCAAAGAGGTATGTATAATAATTCTACAGCTTTATTTAAAGCAGTGGTTCTCAAACCTTTGTACTGGTGACCCCTTTCACACAGCAAGCCTCTGAGTGTGACCCCTTATAAATTAAAAACACTTTTTTATATTTAACACTATTTTAAATGCTGGAGGTGAAGCATGGTGTGGGGCGGAGGCTGACAGCTCGCGACCCCCCTATGTAATAACCTCACAACCCCCTGAGGGGTTCTGTACCCCATGGTTTAAAGCATGTAAGCCTATTTATAAACTAACTTTGATATGCCTCATTTTGTTTTGTAAATTGTAAATGTATTGTGTGTAAATAGAAATATTTCGTATACTAATTACACTCAAAGAAATGTGTGAATGTCTAAAGCTGTACTACTTAAGACTTTGATCTTGAACTAGGCTGCATTGAATCTTGTCAGCACTTGACTGGAAAGCCTCAAGGAAAAACTCAGGGTGCTATCGGTTAACAGAGGGTGCCTCTTTCCCCTCAGTCTCGCCTACCCCGCCCCTGGCCCTTTTGTGAATTTAGTCCTTGTTGCTTTTTGTCAAAATACCTAAAATAAAACAAAAAAATTGAGTCAAAGTATTTTTTGACTTGCCCAAAATTTTGTTTTCAGCTGACCTGAAACGAAACTTTTTTCAATTTTTCAGAATTGCTAGCAAGTCGAAAAATCCATTATTTGCCAGTTTAGTGATTATTTTCCCCCACAATTTGACTACTGATGGTGTTAAAACAGTATCTGTTTTTAATAACAGCACTATGTCCTTGATTTAAAGGACCCAAAACTGTATTTACTGTGGACCTGGTCTTTGTTCTTTTAGTATCTTTCATACTTATGGGGAATGCAGCTGACAGCTTAAAGCAGTGGTTCTCAATGTGTGGTCCGTGAAAGACTTAGACTGAAAACTGACTGAACAGACTTCAGCGCGCTGTGTGTGTGTGTGTGTGTGTGTGTGTGTGTGTGTGTGTGTGTGTGTGTGTGTGTGTGTGTAGTAATAAATGTATATAATATGACAATAGGGGTCTGCATCTCTATTCAAAGTTTCTTGGGGGTCTACAAATGAGAAAAGGTTGAGAACTACTGGTCTAGAGGATACAACACACCCACTGGAAAACAGCCTGAGTTGCTTGACCCAGGGTATTCTGTCACCCACACATTGTGCTTTATTAATATGAAAACTGTAACCCCTGTTGTGATTAAAAACTGCTATACAAACTTTCAAAAACTGAGTTTAGGCAAAATGTGGGAAATAAAAGGCTTGACACTTCAAATGACATTGTACAGCTTACATTTGGATTTATACAATTCTGCACTAAAATAATGAAGCTAATATGTTCTAAAAGTAACAGACTTCTCACTCACACTAGCTCTTTTGTATTGTTTGCTTTAGGTATATGAAAGTTATCCCAGTTATGACTTGTCTGAAAGGAAAGATTTCATCAAAAAGACAGTTAAAGAGGTAAAAACTTATCTGAAAAAAGTCAATGGTATTTTTTTAAACATCTATCAGAGGTTGGGACACTATATAGTATGAGTTTCAAAAAGCTTGGTTTTTAGTATGGGAAGTGACCAAAAACATTTTTCAGGCCAACCTTGATTCAAGAGCTGGATCTTTGCCCTATGTGCTCTTCATCTAAAAGCTGGTACAGTCTGTTGTTTATTTTCTTAACAGTCAAACCTGAACTTCACTCACATGTGGATTCAATAATTTCTTTATCTTTAGGAAATATGAGTTACTACTGAGGAAGAACTAAAATAGTAAAACTACTCTGGCCTCTATTAATCTAACTAGCATAATTAATAATACACAGATCCGAAAGGGCCAAATCGTGGCCTAGGCTACACAGCAATTTAGGGATGCAAAGCACTGGCTACTTGCATCACAGGTAATAGCACAGGAGAGAACACAAGCCTCACGTCCCCTCTCCATGCAGCTGTGTGGGGAGAGTTATGATGCTGTCTTGAAGAGTATACTGCATCTGATATAGACCCCATACTCCCGCCCCACAGCAGTAGTGGAAACAGGAAGGAAACTGACTCCCTGAATTGCAATTTTGCTTTCTTTAGCTGCTAAAGCAATATGCCACCCTTAATGCAGAGCTCACGATCTAGTCCATAGCTAGTAATGCTTAAGAATAATTTCAAGTGCATTCATTTTGTTTCTCCCTAAAATAAAAATGGGATGAAGTAAGGGAATCAGTACTTCCGTTAGTAAGAATGCAGAAAAATTGTAAGTGAAATAAGAGATTCAAACCCTCTAATCCAAATTACAGATGAATCAAAATAATGCATACACCTCTGTCATGTATGCCAGCTAAAACACAGTGGAATATCCTATCACAAGATGGCACTGAAGAATTTTATTTGTGGTGGCACTTCCATGTAAATGGGATGGTTGAGAGAAGAGCATAATCATTTCTTAACTAGCATTTTTGTGCATGTTCTTGAACAGCCTTTATCTTAATATTAGACTGGTGTGGAATTGATTAAGGCTAAAGGAGAAACTGTCTCATTTCAGTTGATTTCATGATCTAATTTGACTGGAGGAAATGAAAACTGCTGACTTATCGTCCCATGGATTTGAAGATGATAGACACCAGCAAAAAGAATATTTGTGATTATGTTTAGTCAGCGCTGATTCTGCGGACAGAGTATCAGTGTAAATTGCTTTGTGTACCTTTTTAATAATTGCATTTGATGCAGGTTTTAGTTAACTTGCTTACATTTTTTTGTGCATGGCAATAAATGTTCCCTTTTTATAGTTTTGTACATTTTGAATTGCTTTGTAGTAGTAGATTCATTAAGACATCATAGCTTTTAATGTGCTTTAATACCTTGCATAAATTTTTTTTAAGAATCAAGTAGGATAAAGGTTGTCTAAGTGTTTGCACATACATGCAGAGATTGTCTGGAATATTGCAGTATTGGGTTATACAAATATTGAATACATATCATTCTGAAAATCACTCATGCTAGTGTTTATATTCTGATTTACATGCTATAAATTCAGAATACTCAATCTACATTACTGTCTTGCATGTGTATGCACTGAGAACCATCAAAGCATGGTAACTAATTGGCAGATATTATTTTTGTACTTTTAAAGACTCTGTATATAAAGTTATTGGAGATTTCTGTTGTGCAAATCAGTTTTTTAAATCTCTAGTTATCTTAAGACTTATGACATGTCAGTGTTCAGCAGTGATGCTGGGATGAAAAGTGGGAAGCGCCATAAAAGTTTATACAAAAGAGTTGAAGTTTTACTGTTTGTCTAATCTTGCCTTGTAAGGAAGATTCACCTGTAATTTTATACTTAAGCTTTTCAGTGTTTAACTTTATATAAAAGGCTACAGATGTATTTGTTCCAATGGCTTGACCTAATACATTAATAAAGTTCAAAGTGAAGGCGATAGGGGAAAAAAGTAACTGACTTGATAATACTAATTTGGACTCTATGGCCAAAGCTTTCAGAAGTAGGTGCCTAAAGTGATGAACACCTGCAGGCTTAACAACTGAAAATCATGCCCCAAATTTAGGAGCCCAAGAAGGACAGTACTTAAGTAAATGATTAAGTGCTATTCCAAATTGGAATGCTTTTCTAAATCTGAGCTTAAATATGGTCTATGGTACTCCTCTGGCTTTTTTTTTTTTTTTTTTTTTTTAAGTCCTTGTGGCACTTTAGAGACTAACAAATTTATTTGGGCATAAGTGTTTGTGGGCGACACCCGACTTCATCAGACGCCTGGAATCAATCAGAAAGTAGAGGAGCAGAA